TCCGCCAACTGAAGCTCCGCAGAGGATGGGTGATGCAACAGGACAATGACCCAAAGCATACAAGTAATTCAACAAAACAATGGCTGCAACAGCACAGAATACGCCTTCTGGAGTGGCCCAGTCAGAGTCCTGACCTCAACCCGATTGAAATGCTGTGGCATGACCTTAAGAGAGCGATTCACACCAGACATCCCAAGAATATTGCTACACTGAAACAGTTTTGTGAAGAGGAGTGGTCCAAAATTTGCTCCAGATCATTGTGCAGGTCTGATCTGCAACTACAGGAAACGTTTGGTTGAGGTTATTGCTACCAAAGGAGGGTCAACCAGTTATTAAGTCCAAAGGTTCACATACTTTTTCTTCCCTGCACTGTGAATGTTTACATGTTATGTGCAATTAAACCATGGCAACATCTAATGTTTGTGTAGTATTATGTTCAGCAGACTGTGTTCTTCTATTGTTGTGACTTAGATGACGTTCAGAGCACATTTTATGCCCAATTCATGCAGAACTCCACGTAATCCCAAGGGGTTCACATACTTTTTCTTGCAACTGTATACTGCATGTTGAAATGCGTTTCTATTACAAAATATATGATAAATATTTTTAAAAATACATTTCAAATTTACTGTATGTCTTTAAAAATACAAATCTACATTTTTGGAATGCATTTACAAATATGTGTAAAAATATATGTTAAAACGACTTTTTTATATGTTAAAAAAAATCTGAAGAATATATTAAAAAAATATGATATGCACTGTTCTGCCTCCATAATTCGCTTAGCATGGTCTCCTAATTCCTTTTAATTTGCTCAGTGCCCGCTGACACTGCCCTGTCCACTGCAGCAGTAATGGTGGGAGAAAGTAGGGCTGCAACGGCCTGTGCTATCCTACCATACTGGTCTTCTGGCAGATCCGCAGCGATAGCATGTGGCTGTGCATCAGTGACCACTCTACCAGGGCCTCCAAAACTGGGATTGTATAGACTCCCACAAATATGCAGATTAGGTCTCCACATCTTCTGCCCACTGGCTTCTGAAATTTTCCAATGGTCCTCCAGAACCAGATGGAGGCGACAGAGTCCCAACTTGTGAAGCCATCCAGTTTGACCCTCAGCAACCCGACCTTAATCACAGACTCACATAGTTACAATAAGCCAAACACTATAGATTTGCCATTATTCTAATTATTCTTATTATACTATTCTAGTAGCACACTAGAGGGTGATACATTAAAAAATTACCATTTATAATAAAGACAAAACACAATTACAAACTGCATTTTTTATTTTATTTTATTTTGCATGTTCCATATCTCTATATATTTAAACACAATAGGTCTTAGTCCATGGTGAGCATAAGTAAAATTTGTATGGTCAATTCAGAGCAAATCAATATAGTTGTATCCACACATAAATCTTTAGCTGCACAATAAACATAGAACTAAGACTAACTCTTGCTTGACTTAGTTTTTCCATTAGAGTATCTGAAGAAAGGAAGCAAGTGCACCTATAAAGTCTGACACTACACTGAGAGTCTAATTCCCACTGAAAGAGGGGTTGGGTAAGATTTTGGCCTGCAAAAGTCTATAAGATATGAAATGCAAATATTATATGCCCGAAGTATCTAACCACCTGCCCCATATTTTTTCAAATTTAGAACTGCAGCCCCTGGGCTGGAAAATAAGGTTCTCAAGTCGCAATGTGTCATTCCTACGTCATAACCATTCTTTTTGTAAAGGAGCATTGGCTGATCTCCATTAGGGAAAAATAAGCCTCTTGGCTTCGAATGGAACTATGAATATAATTGGATTTGTAGCTTCATCTTCAAACCATCTCATTGAGCCTAGGATACAAACTTTTGGATCTTACAGGATAGTCAATTGTTAGAGTGAATTAAGCGTAGTGATCATGGAGTGCCAGTATTTACTGTATGTAATTTTGGCATCGCTAAAGCATATGAATATAAATCATTTTATGAGAATTGTTTTTACTATTAGTTATAAGCTGAATTCACCCGGGTTTTTTGTTGGTACATTTACTGAATAGCTCACAAGTTTGAACATTACTCCGCACCCCATTAAAGTCAATGGCACTCAAATCTTTAAAATCAATTCTGACCATTTTCATGGTTACTAGGCAAGGGATTGTCAAACAAATGGCATGAAGGACTGAGCTAAAGCAAATAAAAATGATGAAAGAGCCAGGTGCTCCTGCCAGTGCTAAAGTAAGCTATAGTCTATCCTTTCCAGGAAGAGCAGCTACTATGTTGGCATATAGAAATATATTCCAGGAGTTGGAGAGGTTTGGTTTTAGGCATACTTTCAACACTGCCCAAAGATACAGTCATTCTATACTATCAAAAGCCTTGGTGGCATCAAGTGACAACAAGGTCCTAGTACCCCTGTAATTTGAGGGAGTTTTCATATTAATAAATAATCTACAGAGATTAATAGAGGTGGATTTTTGTGTCATAAAGTCACTCAGATCTGGGTGAATGACTGGAATGATGACCATACTCAACATCATACTGTATAAGCGAGATAGGTCTATAACAATGAGGATCTACTAGATCTTTATAATGCTTTAGGAGTAGCTCTATTAATCCTTGTCATGGATGGTGGAAATGGGAAGATGTATATGGAAGACCTCATCAAATACTTACAAATGTTTTGGTAATTTAATATCAGCATAACATTTAAAAAACTGTGCTGTCATGTAACTGGGCAATAAAAGTATAAAAAATAAATGTAAATGCTGGTTGGTCACTACATAATATGCCTTTTTTTGCAACTTGGATTAGCAATTCTGAGTTCCCATAAACTTCAATCACTTCAATAATGGACACTTTCACCTTTAATAGCTTTCATTGCTGTCACACAATAATTTGACAATTACTCAGTCATGCAAAACTGTACCCAAGTGAAATTTTTATCATTTTAGAGCTTTTTTGGTGATATTTAATCACCAATGGGGTTTTTTTTACTTTTTGCTATATAAATGAAAACATACCAACAATTTTGAAAAAAAAAGTGTTTTCTTCATTTCTGGTATAACATTTTGCAAGTAAATAATCTTTCTTCATACATTTATGTCAAATATATTATGCTACATAAATAACCCAAATCAGTGTATATTATTTTGTATGTAGGAAATTTATAGAATCCACAAACTATTGTATATACCACCCCAAAGGACCCTTTTTGGATAGTAGACAGTCCAAGGTATTTAGTAAGAGGCATGGTGAGTTTTTAGAAGTTGTACTTTGTTTTCACAATATTTTTGGGAATGAAGAAATTAATTTTTTTCCACTGTTTTTATTATACATACATGCAGTACAGTTTCATATGACTGGTGTGGTGGTGATCAAGGACACAGAATGGTGACAGTATGTGTAAACAAAATAATAATAATATCAATAATTTTTTTTTTTTAAATATTTTTTTTTACAATTTTTAAATTTTTTTTATATTGTGACCTGAACAGTGCAGCGTTACCACAGTGACACTACTACTCCAGGGAGGTGATCACAATTTTTCTTACACACTATGATAATCACTGTTATAAACAATCAGTTTTATAAACAGTATCCATTCATTTATTGTGTATTGTTGTGATTGGCCACATCTATCATGTGGTACAGATGCACTGTGATTAGCCCTGCCTGTACCTTGTGATCACTGTGACCAATCACATGGATCTACAAATGAACGCCATGCATTATGCATAACTGTCATGTGACTGATGTAATTGGTTACGGCACATGGTACCAGCACCGGCCCGGTACAGTGATCTGTTATTTGCTAGGTCTGGTGGACACGCGTATGGAGAGTGACTGGGAGGATGTCATATTATGTCCACCCAGAATTGGAGAGCTTGGGCTAGACCGTCATTTGACAAAAGAGCAAGTGGGAAGCATTAAAGTTGGTGTGGCCCTATTCCAAATGTAGTGGGAAGCAGTTAAGTTGGCGTGGCCCTATTCCAAATGTAGTGGGAAGCAGTTAAGTTGGCGTGGCCCTAATCCAAATGTAGTGGGAAGCTGGGCTTTAGTCAGCCTGAGCTCATATTGTGTCCATTGGGTGTGCCCTAAATTTAAAAAATGGGGTTGATTTATTAAAGCTAGAGAATGCCAAAATTTGGTGCAGCTCTGCATAGAAAGCAATCAGCTTCCAGTGTTTTCTTTGTTAAAGCATAATTGAACAAGCTATAGTTAAAAGCTGACTGGTTGCCATGCACAGCTGCGCCAGATTTTCACTCTCCAGTTTTGGTAAATCAACCCAATTGTGTGCTTATGCCTGCTGCAATGAGGTTTCTTAGCATAAAGAACAAGAAGAAACAATATTGCCCCCTGGGCTGTTACCAGGAGATGAGGCAGTGTTGTGCCTCTCAGGCCTATTGAGAGTTATTCTGTCTATTTGGGGCACATTCAAACGTTGGGTATAAAGCTGTTGACAGTGGAGAGTCCTATGCACTTGCTGCAAAATTTACTGAACAATTTACTGTGCTCTTCAACAGTCAGTGTGTACATATTATCTGTCTCAGGGCCAGTTCATACTACATGTATTTCAGTTGCTTTCTTTCTTCATCCAAAACGCACAGAAAGTAGGTTATATGGTTGTCAATGTCATAGTTCACATCAGTGCTTGCAGTTCCAGTATGTTCTGATTGCAGAAAAAAAGTAGAACATGCTGTATTTTTTCTACACAGAACTGTACTGAAATGCAGTACAACGCATTAAAAACGCACTGGAATCCACCAAAATGTATCAAAAATGCACTGGAACACACATGTCCCTATTTAAATTGAGGAAAAAGAGAGAGGGGGGAAAAAATCAAGTAGATAAAATATCCTATAATTAGAGAGAGCTGAACCCCGTCAAGTAAAGAAAATATCTCTACACCCCTGTAACCAACTGAATTAATTAACCACCTTCCACCGGCCATATAGTACAATGACGGGCGCAAGGTGGTTCTCTTGTTCTGATAGGACTTCATATGACGTCCTTTGATTCTCACCGCGCATGCGTGGCTCAGGGAGCACGCAGCGCGGCGATCGCCGGTGCTCTGTGTCCCTCGGACACAGCAGATCACGGAAAGAGCCGAAGATGTCGGCACGGTCATGTGATCAGCTGTGTCCAATCACAGCTGATCACATGTAAACACGGAAATGCCGGTTATCAGCATTTCTCTCCTCTCGAGCTGTCACGCTGACAGCTTGAGAGGAGAAGAGAGCCGGTAATCGGCTTTCTGCGGAGGCGACATGTACACTAATCATCAGGGCACTGATGATCAGTGTGCCCTGATGATCAGTGTGGCCCAGAAGTGCCACCTGTCAGTGTCCATCAGTGCCAGCAGTCAGTGCTCATCAGTGCCACGTGCCAGTGCTCATCAGTGCCACATCAATACCACATATCATTGCATACCAGTGCACATCAATGCCACATATCAGTGCCCATCTGAGCTGCCTTTCAATGTCACCCATCAGAGCCAGTCAGTGCCACCTATCAATGCCACCTATCAGTGCTGCCAATCAGTGCCACCTATTAGTGTAAGTCAGTGTCGCCTATCAATGCCAGTCAGTGCTGCCTAACAGTGCCAGTCAGTGCTGCCTATCAGTGCCAATCAGTGCCATATATCAGTGTCATGTATCAGTGCTGCCTTTCAGTGCACATCAGTGATGCCTGTCAATGCCCATCAGTGAAACCTACCAGTGCCTCCCCATCAGTGCCCATCAGTGCCACCTATCAGTGTCCATCAGTGCAGCCTATCAGTGCCCATCACTGCAGTCTCATTAGCGTACATCAGTGAAGGAGAAAAATCACTTATTTACAAAATTGTATAACAAAAACTAAGAAAAAAATTTTGTTTTTCAAAATTTTCAGTGGTTTTTGGTTTGTTTAAGAAAAAATAAAAATCCCAGAGGTGATTAAATACCACCAAAAGAAAGCTCTATCTGTCTCAAAAAAATGATAAAAATTTCATATGGGTACAGTGTTGCATGACCGCGCAATTGTCATTCAAAGTGTCACAGCACTGAGAGCTCGAAATTGGCCTGGGCAGGAAGGGGGTATAAGTGCCCTGTAGGCAAGTGGTTAAATGTTTAATAGGTGGTTTTTCTGTGATTCTCTCTGAACTGTATTATGCAACCCCCATCACTGGGTAATCTGTTGCTTATTGGTTTTTTTGTTTGTTTATTTGGAAATTTAATACATTTACCATAAAAAAAAAAAAGTTTATTTTTTGTGAAAAAAAAAAGTTTAATTGCTTATTCAGCTTTGTTTTTGAGTTCTCTGTTCTATTAAAATCAGTCTACGGTTTGTGGGAACTGTACTCCACCCTTTGTTTGACTGCAGTGACATCTGTCATCTATGGTATGTACAGTGCTGTTATTATATTTTCAGTAGTGAAAAGCAAGAATGTATTTACATGGGTACTTAATAGTAGACCTCAGTAATAAAAACTGTATAATATGCAGCAAACCACTGTACAGGAACAACAGAATTGTTCTAACAGCCTTGACTTTCTTCTTTATAGGAAAGTGTAAGCCTTTTAATAATATTAATTCTGGCTGATTGGTCTGTGCCATTTCCTTTTTTAATGTGTGGCATTGAATGCTGTTGTACATGATTGCTTAGTGATTATATCTTGTATTCCATGTAATTGTTAAAGTACTGTGTGTAGGATAAATATCTTTTGTGTGGCTTTACTTCACTAAAGCCAAAATGCCTGCACTGGGGTTGTCTGAAGCTGGGGTCTGCTATGTAATTTAGGGGGTCTGTATGCTGTTTTTTAAATTAAGAAGGCAGCAGGGAAATGTCATTTGAGGGCAATTTAAAATACTTTTTTTTACTTTGTAAAAGTTGCAGCAACTCTTTCTGTACATCACAGACATGAACCCCTTCACAGGTAGGATGAGGACCCCCTAGAAATGTTATTTAAAGGAATTGGGTGTTTTTATTCTTTCACTTTAGGCATTTAAAAAAAAACTGCTCCTAACTAAATAGATTTATTTTTAATTTTTTTTTTTAATAAGTACATGTTAACATTTTTGAAAATATATTAATAATAAGAAAACGAGGTGAGAGCATATAGGCCCCATAACCTCCGTTCACACTATGTGGGCTGATTGCAGGTGCAGGAATTGCATCTGTTCCTGCACTCGCAACCACCCGCAGTCGAATTGCCCTTATGAGACCCATGGGACTGCCATTCATTCTGAATGGCACCCCCACGCATCTCAGCCCGCAGTACAATTGCAAATGTGTGAACTGCAAGAAAACCATATGGAAAAAAATACCATGCAGTTTCCCTGCGGCCGAGTTTTCAAAAAGGTGCAGGCACCTTTTTCGTGCAGAAACGCAGGCATAGTAGCCCATTCAAATGAATGGGCTGCTATGCCTGACCAGACATGGGCAGAAGTCTGGTGAAGAAGTCAGGGGAGGGGCACAAGCTGGAAGGAATATTATGAGCTCAAATTTAGAAAGATTGAGTTTGAGGAAGTGGTGTGACATCCATGCTGATATGTCAGTTAGTAAGTTAGTAATGGGAGAGGAGACTGAAGGAGTGAGGTGAGGAGTACAGAGATAGATTTGTGTGTCATCAGATAGTAGGTGTCATTAGTAGTAATCAGCATGGATTTATGAAAGATCATCCTCCTTGCCAGACCAATCTGTTGCCATTCTATGAGGAAATGAGCTGCCATCTATATAAAGGAAGGCCTGTAGATGTAGCATATCTGGATTTCGCAAAACTATATGGAAGTTGTTATAGATAGCTCAATCTCAGTGTATGGTGATGATACAAAAAGTTAAGAAGGGCAATTACTTCACAGCAAGATATAGAAACCTTACAAGAAAACACCAATAAAATAATGAGTTGGGAAACTACATGACAAATGAGGTTTAATGTTGAGAAATGTAAAGTAATGCACTTGGGGGCCAAAAACATGAATGCAAGTTACTCGCTGGGGGAGAACCTCTGGGGGAATCTAGGATGAAAAAAGATCTGGGGGTCCTAACAGATCACAGGTTCAGCAATGGCATGCAATTTCACGCTGCATCAAGCAGAATAATAGCAGGCATTAAAAATGGTATTTACTCAAGAGATAAAACTATCATTTTACCATTTTATAAGACTCTGGTCTGGCAATTTCTTGAATATGCAATTCAGTTTTGGTCACCAATCCTCAGGATGGATGTGCTGGAACTGGAGAAAGTCTAGAGAAGGGCAACACAGCAAATAAGGGGATTGGAAGACGTTAGTTATGAGGAATGACTACAAACATTAAACTTATTCTCCCTGGAGAAGAGACACTTGAGAGGAGATATGATAGTGATATGCAAATACCTCAATGGTGATTCTAACATAGTGAGGAAACTATTAAATTTCAGGGAGCTTAAGAAGACGTGCCCACTCAATTGGAGGAGAGGCAGTTCAACTTTAAACTGTGTGGGTGGTTCTTTACTGTTCGAGCAGTAAGGATTTGGAACGCCCTTCCACAATCAGTCAGCAGGAAGTATCGATAATTTTAAAACACACTCTTATCTGGGCACCTCAGTGATCCCAATATACTGGGAAATAGCATTGACTTAGATACACACACAAACATATACACACATATACAGGTTGAACTAGATGGACTGGTGTCTTTATTCAACCTTACCAACTATGAAACTATCATCGCTAGTTCCTCCCATGAGATTAGCCCAGAAAATAGCCATTTTGTAAATTGACAAACTTGACTTCCATTTATATTTTTAAAGCTTGCTTAACCCTGATCACACCACACCCGAAGGCACGCAAGACTTTCAATTAGAGTCACTTCCTGTGAGATTAACTGAAAGTATAAAACAGAATTAGACAGTGTGTGTTCGGGGACATGCACCCACCTTCACACTGTCAAATCTGAATCAAGGGCTGTGTCCGTGCAGCTCCTGCATCCAAATAGCATGAATGGAACACCTGAACATCCTCTGTGAGCAAAGGCAGCTCTTCTCACTTGTGTGTGCTTACGTGCACCCCTTTGAATGAGGCCTTAATGTGATCCTAACACTTAACTCTATCCTTTCTCTTAATTATATTTTAATTATTTCATTACTGATTACTTACCTATTACATTGTATCTCTAAAATAAACTTTTTTTTTATTATGGATAGAATGGGGAAGAGTTAGACCCTCTTTCGAGTTTATATTGCTGTCCAAGTGTCTACTGGGGAGGTTCACTCCTCAATCTGTCCTTCTGACCACTGTCACCAAAACAGACAGTGAGGTGAAATACAATATTTTAGAGTTGTCCCCAGAACAAGAGGTAACGTAATCTTCCAATGGGTCCAGCTGCTCCAGGGACAACTGTCAACTAACTTCCAGTTACGTCTCAGGAAGTGAAGGGAAATATCCTAAATGGTACATAGATAGCAAAAGTCACCTGGCAGGGGTTTTACCCTTTCCTACTGTATCTAAAAGAAAAAAAATGTTTTGGCTATACACAGTTTTGGCTAGAGATACACTTTAAATCTCTCAGTGATACCGTGATTATATGTCTATAGTGACATAGCATAAACTAGCAATAGAAACCCAATGTGGTAAACCTGGTGTGTGGTCTAACTGGTGAATCATTGCTATTTGCTCAGCTTTTACAGCTACATCTAACTAACCTTTACCAGTGATTGGATATGTTCAATAGGTTATGCCTTGCTCAACATTGCTTTAATAAATTACATTTAGTCATAAATTATTGATTGTAAAATTCCTATATACATGCTTTTTTTTTCTTTTGCCCATGATTTGACTGGTAAAGCAAAACAGTATATTTATAATGAAACTACAGACCCCAGAATGCCCAGTTAGAGATCTTATTGATCTTGTCCACTTTTTGATTACTATGGACCTTATTCTATTCAAGGAAAAACATTCCCTCCCCACGAGTCAATATTTGCTGCATTCCTGAGACAGATCTGCTGAAGATTGTGAGCCAGAGCTGCACGTTGCCCAACCAGAAGTGCAGCATGTGTCAAGGCTGTATTTGACCTGCTTTGCTCACAGTTCAAATGCACCTCAATAGGACCTTCTGCACCAAAAGGAATGCCGTGCAACAGAAATCAGCTCAAATGCAGCCTCTGATATGTTCCATATACTGCTCTTTTAAAGTCAATGGCAATTTGCTGACCTGCATTTGACATATCTTTTAAATGTGTAGGGATAAGCCAAATGTTCCTGGGTTTGATTCGAGGTGGGTTCACATGACTTAAGTTCAGGTGATGAATATGAATCCCAATGAAGCCAATGGGAGCTGAATGTTGTGTAGCACCATCTAGAGTGCTAGTTGAGTAGTGTAGGTAAATTTATTGTGTATGACTCATGGTAACTGTGTGAGTCTGTAATTAGGTCGGGTTATTGCAGGTCAGGCTGGATGGCTTAACAGGTTGGGACTCTATTACCTCCACCTGGTTCTAGAGGATCCTAGAACATTCCAGAAGCCGGTGGACGGAAGTGGTGGAGACCTATACTGCATGTTTATGGAAGTCTATCCAATCCCAGGTTTAGAGGCCCTGGTAGAATGGTGAAACCAACCCATAAATATGGGAGAGTCAG